CAATTCATCCTGGAGGTAGAATGTAGGTTTGTGGAATGTAGGTTTGCCTATTTCATTATTTAGTAAAGCTCCTTACACGAGAGTGGGAGGAATCGTGGTCATTCACAATCAGAAAACTTGTCTCTTTGTATACTTTTTCCTTTTTAGTTTTATAAATGACTGCACCAGAAGGCAGCCTGGGGAAGGGAGACTGTACTTTGGGGATGCGTTGAGACATGTCCACGATGCTTTTCCGAAGCAAAGACTGAAGGAGGCAGCGAAGGGCAAGAGAGGGCCCTTTACTTGCTCTGCCTCCATGGTCTCAGAAAACAATGTGTGGGGAGTCTTTTCCTTATGCCTCTCCTCTTTGTGGGAAATTGGTGGAGTTACCAGATTTTCTTCCTATCACATCACTTCACTGTCTTGAAATGGGGAGTCCTATATGGTTTCATATATCCCCCCTTGATCCCTGAATGAAGTGAGTCCTTAGATTTTATGACATGTGGTGGCCACCATTCCCTAGTGTAAGTATAAATGGTCTTTTTAATTTGTTTAATCCTTTTGGTCATTTTGTTGTAGGAAAATGTTTATCAGATTTTACACTTCCATCTCATGCTTATCTTCTTGAAATTAGTCCTTGATTTCCTTTTTCTTACCCATGGGTTAATGACCTAAAAAATACAAAAGATTGCCCACCCTCTCTTAGAAAAAAGAACTTTAATATATAATGACAATAGACATTCTTTGTTCTAATGATGATCTTGATGGAAAACTAATTTATTCTGCCCCCCAGCAGTGCAGTGACGTTTGCATTGATAAAATCAATTGATAGGAATGCCCTGCCCCAGGTGACTTGAAAAAGACAAACCATTCATAACCCAAACACTACTTAAAACAGAATCTAATATTAAAGATTAATATTAGAATTAATCTATGGAGAATTATACCCTAATTTTATGAAGCTGATATTCCAAATTGAGGAAAATCTTGATTGAGCCAGGTCTTATGACAAACCTCAGCTGTACTTGCAGAAAAGGAGGCCTTTGAGAAAAGGACGAAAATACTTTGCTCTTCTTACAGTTTATTCTCACTTTGAGATCCTAGTGCTCCAACCAAAAAAAGTGGGATCTTTTTCTGTAGAATCCCAAGAGTAATTCTGTAAAGCTCCAGATTAAGTCATTACGGCTGCGATGAAGACGGAAGGAGAATATTTTGATTTTGGTGGGGGATGGGGTGGGTTAGTGGGTGGGGGAAGACTCATAAGATACCACTTTACTCTTGATTTAGACACAGACCGATGGTTCCATCATGACTTAGAAAAGCTTAAAGGAAAACAAATAGAACTTTAAAAGAGAAATTGTATCTTTCAAACTAATGGCAAATATAAAGGTTGATTAGAACCATATTAAATTAATATTATAAGGAAGGCAGATTATTTAAAAAGATATCCAGCTTTAAAGGAAACAGAGAAGAACCCAAAAGTAAAAAGTATAAAATGATATCCAGGGGTCAACTATTAGTTATGACATTAAATGGAAATGGGAAAAATTTCACTAAAATTAGATTTTTAAAAAAGTAATCCAACATGATCATTACTAGAAGAACAGAATGATATAGAAAGTTTAAATATAAAAGGATGAACACATTTCATTTATCACTTGAAAACAGAGCAGATAATACCAAATAAAGCAAAAAAGTATTGAAATCAACAAAGGTGATTTTTACAATAATCAAAAAGTGAATATGGAATTATTACAAACTCTTCCATGATAAATCTCATTGTTTCAAAATATACTGAATACAACCTAAATGTCCCAGTACAAGAAAGGTTAAATGTATTGTGATATATCTGAGTGGTGACCTAATATGTAGTGATTAAGAGTGGTGATATTGAAGTTTCTTTGTTCATAAGGAAGACTGTTACCAATATATTGTTGATAAAAGAAAGCATATTATAGGTAATATGCACATTATTCTCCTACTTTGGTTAAAGCAGAATCAAAATGTTAACCATAGTTATTACTATGTGATAAAACGAGTCAGTTTAAATATTTTCATCCATACTTTTAATCTTTCT